AATGTGTAGATTACCTTTTGGCACTAGAACAAATAGCACTCGCATATTATAAATAATTCATACTGATGTTTGTGGCCCAATTTCACCTATAACATCAGAAGGCTACAGGTATTTTGTAACTTTTATTGATGATTTCAGTAATTTTACAATCATATACTTATTAAAACATAAGAATGAAGTTTTTCAAAAATTCAGGGAATATTTCAATATGGTACAGGCAATGTTTAGCAATAAAGTTTCTAAATTAAGATGTGATAATGGTGGGGAGTATGTATCGAAAGATTTCAAGGGTTTCTGTGGGGATCAAGGTATTATTTTAGACTATACAGTTCCGTATACTCCGCAGCAGAATGGGAAAGCAGAGAGAATGAATAGGTCATTAGTAGAGAGAGGTAGAGCTATGGTGAACGAATCTGGAGTACCACAATATATGTGGGGCAAAGCATTTATTGGCTGCCACATATGTTTTGAATAGGAGTCCGAGTGAAGCATTGTACCAGAATTTGACACCAGCTGAGTTATGGTTCGGTAAAAAACCTGATGTAAGTAATTTGAGAATTTTTGGAACTTTGGAACATATCAAAAGAAAAAAGAGATAAATTTGATTCAAAGGTAAATAAATGTATATTTGTTGGATATGCAAGGAATGGATATAGATTATGGAATGTAGAACACAAGAAAATAGAAATAGCTAGGGATGTAAAAATAGATGAGGATAAGTTTTGGTTTGGACAAGGTGTTTCAGTACATGCTCAAAATAAAGAAGAATTAAACAAGGTGGTGAAAAGCCAAATAAATCAGATAGGAAATGAGACAGAAGATGAAATAGACCCAAATAGAGATGATAGGATAGTTGGAGATGAAAATCAGGCAATAAATGATATATACCTATTCAATAACAGATGATAGGGTAGTAGAAGATGAAAATCAGGGAAAAATGGAAAATATACGTAGTCGTAGGGATATCAAAGTACCAGAATGGCATAAAGATTATAAGATATATATATGGCTTATGAAGCAGTTAATTTTGTAAATGATATACCGAATGAGTTCGGTGAAATAGAAGGTAGAAAAGATAAACATTGCTGGATTAGGGCTATGGATAGGGAATTGAATTCGATAAATAAAAATGAAACATGGGAGGTGACTGAAAAACCAAATAAGACAAAGATTTTAGATACAAAATGGGTTTATGCTAAAAAACAATTAGAAGAGGATGAAAATGAAAGTTATAAAGCTAGGTTGGTTGTGAGAGGTTTTGCACAAAATGATATCGATTTTGATAGTATTTATTCACCAGTTGCTAGAATGGCCACAATAAGAACATTATTGAGTACCTATAGGAAATCAATATAAATTCAAGTTTAGGCAACTAGATGTGAGATGCGCGTTTCTGAAAGGATTTTTGGATGAACCTGTATATATTTATCCACCGAAGGGTTTTTCATGTGATTCAGGAAAAGTTCTGAAATTGAAAAAATCCCTTTATGGATTGAGGCAATCATCCAAATGTTGGAATGTGGAAATAAATAAATTTTTATTAGATATTGGGTTTATTCGTTCAGAGAATGATTATTGTCTGTATCATATAACCTTAGGAGGCACAAACATTTTTTTATTATTATATGTTGATGATATCATTTTGCCCGGTTCTAATTCTAATATTTTGGAAGGAATCATATCGAAATTAACAAATAAATTTGAAATGAAAGACAAAGGTAATCTCAAACATTTTTTAGGGTTAGAGATAAGTTATGATTGTGAACAAGGTATACTCAATATTACACAAACACAGTATATTCTGAGAATATTGACAAAATTTAATATGATTAATTGTAAAGGCAAATCAACCCCGATCGATCCCAGAGTGAATTTGAATATTGAAAATAGTGGTGAAAATTGTACAAAACCAAATTTGATAGGAAGTTTAATGTACCTAATGTTGGGAACTCGTCCTGATCTTTGTTTTGCAGTGAATTTTTTCAGCAGGTTTCAGGACAAGGCTAATAATTCAACTTGGGTTCATATCAAAAGGATATTGAGATATTTAGAACATACTAAATGTGTAGGACTTCAGTTTATTATAGAACACATTCTAATTTGGAAATATCTTGTTATGTAGATTCCGATTGGGGAAGTGATTCACTAGACAGACGATCAGTTACAGGTACAAAGAAGAAGTCCATCAGTGGTTTCAGATCCGGAGATCTTGGCCGCTAGTGAATGAGAGGACTATCTCGACCAATATACCGATTTCTATAATTATTATTCAGTTACTTTCTTATCACAATGTGCATTTTGTTTTTCCACATACTGATTAATATTAAATATTTCCTTATGAAATTTGGTACACATTTGACGGCATGCTGAGTCCATTGATGTTTTCGAAATTTTCATAAAAAAATCACTATGTTTTCTTGAACTTTAACTATTGAAAATATAAGCAGTAGGTCTTGTTTTTTGAGCAAAAATGATTCATCGTAAAGTACAGTATTTAAAATAAAGTTCGTTGAAATGGGTTAATCAATACAAATTTTATTGGAGTTTCCCGCTTTCAAGGGGGCCACACTGTACATACATATATAGATCCATACATACAGGTGAAGCTAATAAAAGCATCTCAAAAATAGTACTTTGTAGGTAGATGCCTTTTTTCCACTTAGTGAGTAGCGTGTTTATTTGTGGAACACTTGATAGATCAGGAATGGAAATGGATGGAAGGAATTTCTGAAAATATATCACTGAAATATGGCAAATCAGAATTTCTGCTTTCCTTTGAAAGACCCGTCCATTGATTCCATCTCATATATTATTGCCTTCTAAAGTTTCGTCTGCGGTCGCTCTATCTGATTTTTGAGGGTTGTTCTTTCCATATTCTAGTTCCCCACCAGGGTGCACAGGCACCCTAATGCCTCACCAATTGGGTTGGACTCCAGGGGGCAGAGGTTTCCAAAAAACATGACCGAACTGCGGTATACATAGAGGAGGTGGAGAAGAATCCTACTATGGGTCAAGTGGGAGGATATCTTGACTGCCTCGGCGGGTGAGCAGCGATTCTGATAGGGCACTGACACTGCAGTGTCAGTAGTCTGTATCAGACGGTAGCAGGAGAACATGCAGTTACATAATGGAGATGGGTCTAGTGTGCTGAATTGGCGTATCTAAAATTATCCAATTCTCCTGGTGTGCTGTCGGTATAGGTCGAAGGATAGGTGACCGGCAGTCATCTCTTGGCTTGGGGAGTCATGTGAAGGGGGGTGGGACTTTGCCTCACCTGTTGCTATTCTCAACAATGAATATTATTATCATTATATATTATTATTGATTCGCCTAACCATAAGACTCGGTCTCCATGGAGAGCCCTGAGCAAAATCTGATAGACAGTGTGGGTCCTAAACCTTGAAGCGTAAAAAGCTAATGAGCGTCGTTTCTCCAATTCCCCCATGCTATTCAACATACACATGCATAATCATTTTTGTACCAGAATTGATTATAGAAATAGTCGATTTCCGACCAGCAATTCCAACCATAGGTTTGAACACAATTCGTGTTTGCTTTCAGTATATGCAAAATTTAATTCCCTCCACTTCACTCCTGGTGATGGTGAAATTTTGTCTGAAAATCATTGCCTTCGCATAAAGAGCAATACATTGGCATGATCTTTGACAGTTTGACATTGTGTTCTAACAAATCCATCGGCATGTAGGCCTACTATTCCGGCCCGTTATGGAAACACACCTCTGATGGGAATTGGTTTAGTTATGATGGCATCCTAATTCGCGAGAGAAAGAGGCCAGCCTTCTCACACTCTCAGGGCATACAAAATGATGTTCCCGAAGTGCGCTTTCCGTATTGCTGTCACTTCTGGGTATTCCGTGAGGATGTGGGAAGCTGACTCCTCATCCTCCAGGCACCATTATATACATTCAGCATCATCAGTGATACCCATTATATTGAGGTGCCCCGTAAGGAGCCCTACCACTGAACTGATTTCTTTCTTGCTCAATATGAGCAAAGTTTCGGTTCTTCTAACAGAAGGGCCCTCGATGTGTCTCATGTCAGGTGTCTCTTTCCATACGTCCTGGAATTTTGCTTCCAGGATATTCACCATGGTTGAGACGCTCCAGGATCTAGAATCTCCTAAGATTGGTTCTGGTCCAATCGCTGAACTATTTGCTCCTTGTCTAGCCAGATAGTCGGCCCTTTCATTTCCGGTAATCCAGTATGACCGGGTACCCAAAGAAGTTTCACCTTGTTGGCTGTTAATAACCTTTGCAGATCATCAATGCACTCCGATAACAACAGCGAACTTGATCGCTGCTTGAATGTACGAGCATATATTGATTAGTTGAAGATGGTAGTATTTGTTGATATTTTCTCTAGCACAGGCAAGTATGGCAAAAACCTCTGCCTGAAATAATATGGCAAATTCCCCAGGACGTAACTGATTTCCGCTTTTGGAGATGGCCCATGTACCCCAGCTTCTGCTGTTTCACCTATCCTGGAGCCATCAGTGTACCAGATGATTCCAGTGGTTGAGATCAGACGGAGCCCGAACTGCTCACAGTCCTTCCTTTGAAAGATAATTGGCTGAGGCCTTTTGCTGAATCTAATAACAGGAGTAGAACTGTCATCCGGTATCTCAGGGAGGGGGCATTCCTTCACTGATTGGAGCTTCACAGGAGAGCGATTTTTGAATTCTCCAAGTGAACTCGCTTCGAGGGACCTCGCAAACCTAGGATACTCCCAATAATTGGCGTCAAACAAAGCGGTTAAAATAATGTTCCGCTCTTCAACAATAATTTCCACCAAAAACTCTCATATTCTATTGGCCTATACGTTTATTTCAATCTTATTATATCAATATCAATTCACATAGGTTTGTTAATATAAAGATAGGTCGGACATGTCTATATACCTACTGTGACTATTTTCACAAAACAATCTGTTCCCGAAATATTTGCCCATTTCAGATCCTTCGCTCTACCCAATCTACTTACCGATATTACATAATTGGTGGCAGAACTAATCACAGTCGCAGATAAAGAATTGGTTAGTTGAAGTGCTTTAACAAAAAATGTCCAAACGCCACCGTTACAAACTAACATACATATGAAAAATGGTATCCTAAAAGTGAAGTTCCCCTGAAAACAAAAAGAAATATCAGTTTAGCTGCATATTTGGAGAGAATGGATGAATTCGAGGTTGGAGAACCAAAAATATAACAACCGTCTATGGTAAAAGTCCATGGTATCTCAAAGTGGAGTGAATAGATTCATAAACAAGACTTTGTGTGTCTTGTTTATGGATGTATAACAATCGTCATTTTGGATGATCGTAGATATCGAGAAATGCACGTATCAGGGTATAATTTACATACTTTCGTTATGTCAATGTGATTAAGTCATTAATGAAATGACAATGGACCATCAGCGTATCAGGTGCATTTTATTGACAGCATTTTTTCGACAATCGACAATTGATATATGTTTTCACTAGGTCTTCCATTTTGTCTTTTCTATCCTTTTGCGATCTCACTTTTGCGCATGAGCCGTGTTTTGTTATTGTAAGATGTGAAGTGAACATGTGAATAAATAGAAAGTTGTTAATGAGTGCATTTATTATTATTTCTCATCAAATCGAAATAACGCATTTAGTTGTATATTAACTGATAATCTTCTTCGAGAACATATCTATCGCGATTATGTTATATATGTACCTCTACCATGAAGTTTCAGTCCTGGAAGGAATCTAGATACTTCTACCTCGGACTTGAGTCTTTATCTCCACCTGACTATTGTTGCAGCAGGCTAGGTAATATGCAGTTATGATTTATAGCTCACTTGGAATTTACAAATAGTTAATTCCAGATACCAAAGAAAACTTCTCTTCTCAAGTTTTGACCATGTTCCAGGTATTCTAGAAATTACAATATCAATCATCAGAAGCAAAATTCGTGAACTCTTGGCTGATTGACCGGATCAGATGTGAATATATAACTGAATACGACAAGTTTTATTGTAGTTATTATTATTATTATCATTATTATTACTAGAAAAATGATGTATTCTATACGTATAACCTCAAAAATTCTCAGTGCAAGAATAAACCACGTAATTTTCATTGATAATTTACTGAAAATACGTCATTCAGTCATCACTGGGCCAACAATGAACAAGCAATAAATGGAAGAACTGCATCGCCAATATTTTGTGATTTGGGTACCATTGAAAAATGCCAATATTAAGCCAATAATAGTTCACTGGGGTGACATTGCTCTAAACGTGATGGACCATGTATTATAATGTTTGCTGGGATAGCTCATATAGAGAATGACATTTCTTGTATATATCCCATACCATCAGTATGCTCAATTCAAAATCGGAATTTCGAAATTTCTGACTGATGGGAAAATATTACATTGTAAATTGATGAAAAGACAATAGAAGACAGCCGCGTCGTCCTTTATATATTTTATAAACAAAAGGTGTTTCGTAATATATGTGGGACGCACTCCAAGGGGTGATAGAGGCGTCTCAAATGAATGAAAAAAGTTTCCATAAACATCGAATAATGTAATGTTGAAAAATGTCAGTGCACGACACACTAATTTATATCTATAACCTCTTCTTCATAACATGATGGCAATAACGGTACCTTTTACTTAACGAATGAGTTAGAAACGGTGTTGTCAGCTCAAAAATTCTCCAATTCCCAACAATATTGCTATCACTCACACTAATAACCAATCTTGCAGTTTCGGTCCAAACAGAATACAGAATAGCCTAGCAATATTGCTATACATTATGATCATAACAATGTTATTATCTTAGCAATGTTACAACAAGATCCGAACAGAATCAACCCGATTGTTGTTGGTTATTTCTCTTTTGAACCTCAGTGTTGGCTGTCGAAACCAGGTAGCAGTTTGCTTCTATAATTTGGTATCTGACAAGCTAGGAAATCGCTTTCGGGCAGCATCTGTACAAATATCAAAAGTGAATATTTCAGACACATATTCACTGGTATATCAAATGTTAGATATTTATGATATATTTCTGATATGTTAATTCAGTATGTTTCGAATGATTCTATATAGGTCTCCGTTGAAACGTTCTTCCTCTTTTTATTTCAGAGTTCTGTGACTTCTGTGGTCAGAGAATGAAGAAGTTATACGGTTCATTTGTTCTTTCGGTTCTTAATTATTTGGACTTTCCGGAGATTTTGTTGTTTTTAATACTTGTTTTCTTAGTGCGTTTTGATACATTTCAGACACATCTATCTGGGATATGAAAATATATTAGATGTTCATGATATATTTCTGCAACGTTTGCTCGAAAAGTTTCGAAAGATTCCATGTAGGGTTCCGTGGATACGTTTCATACACATTAGGTATGTGTTCACTGGGTCAAATTGACAGATTTTTTGTATTTGCTGAATTTGGTCTTCGTTGTGCAAGTGGTGCAAGTAACAATCATGTCCACGAAATAGGAAAACAACCAAAAGACTGATGGAAATGATCGTGAATTTTTTTGGAAAAAAATCCGATTCAGCCTTGCTGGTTTATTGAAACAAATCGCTTGATAATCTACCCATCAGGCAAGTCAAAGGATTTGCTGGTTTCTCTGATGATATACCGAAATTGTATCCTCATATAAATTCTCTACAAATTGAAACTTCAAGGAAAGGTTCTCAAGTAGTTGGTCAGACAAGTGAACCTATATGTTTATAATCACCTTTTTTCTAAATTTCTCAATAATTCCTATGCAAATCGAAACTTTAAGGAAAGGTTTTCAAAGGTACTAAGTTTAGTCACATAATATATTTTCGTAACCACCTATTTTCAAAATTTTCAAATACTTGGAAAAATCGTAGTGCACAACCAAAGAATCCACTGCCATTTTCAACCTTGTTATTGATAAGACAGCAAGCTCAAAATTGATGTTGCCGAGATAGCCAGAAAGCTAACAAGATGTCATTGAAATTGACAGATCATATTGTCAAAAATCGATGATCAGAATTCCACTTTTTCGAATCTTGCTATGATAGCAATATCTTCTTGACCACCATATTGCTATTTGCAAACAGAATCGACCCGAGTTTCATCAATTTTTATGAACATATTATTTGAGAATTATGTCATATTCATTATGCGTTTCTTCGGAAACATTGCACTTGATACATTACAATTAATATTCATATGCAGTTTTTGTTTAATTTCAAAGATGTTTTAGTTTGGAACCTTTTTTCATGAGATATATCTGAATGCATGCATACACAATTATCTTATGTTTTCAGATGCATTTCTATAGAAACGTTTTCTATGCATGTGTATGAGTTAAAAGTTGAGACGTTTCAAGTGGACAATAATTGGTTTCAGAAATGTGTCAGAGACATATTTTATTTTACTGCATGGGCAATTACAAAACTGAACTGATTTCGCACGATCTATTAGAGAGAGAATTGTTGCACTGAGCTCCAAACTGGGTGCACCAGTTTTCCAATGGAATTCAAAATCTGCCACCAGTTTTACCAATGGAATACAAAATATGCACTAAGTGCCAGCTAGTTTTACCCTTAGATCATGATCTAGGGTTTTACCAATGGAATTTGCTATAAGATATTTAACATTGGACTAGAAATCAGCACAATAATTTCAGTTTGTCCAGAAACAAATACGCAGTGAATATGTCGGTACTCACCTACCTGAATAATGAATATAGGTACATACATGCCCAAACAAATATCATGCCTGTGCTCAATCAATTTGAATTGGTTATAGCTACCACTGATAAATAATACGCGAGAATCACGAAGTGTGCGGCCTCTGGTGGCTAACTTTACAATTCTTGCGAGTATAAACAACAATGACAACAAATATGAGGACCTTTGTTTCGGGAGAATTTTGATTATTTTTTCGGGGTTAACTTTGTGTCTGAGGTTTATTTTGTGTCTGAGTGCTTGTAATTGCTTTTATTTTTTCGAAACATGCAGCAAGTTCACAAAATAGTTTAAACGAAATCCATGAAGTTTTGTTCAACCACCGATTCCTACCTTATTTCCCTTGGTTCTCACGATGTTCTCTGAACCACAGATTAACCCCAAAGGTGGGGTTAATCTGTGTCTGAACATTACAGGATATCCCTTTTCGTGGAAACCAGAACATAAAAAAGGACTATAATTATACAGAAAGTGAGTGCCTACATGATAATTAATTGAGATTCTCCTCGTATATGGAACTTACAATATAGAAATTATAGAATCAATGAATTTGAAGGTCCCCAAAAAAAATAAAATCAACAATAAAAGCGAGAATAAAGGATTAGAATTTCATTAGTTAGTTCCAAATAATAGTGGAATAATAGAGAACATATACAATACCATTGGAATGCATTTTCACCGAGCTATTCAATGAGGTATCACAAGTAGGGGCTACTATTGAAATGATATGCGTTGGGGTGGTTGTGAACTCAGAAGGTTGGTAGGAGACATTTTATTTTCCACTTTATATATATTATATAAACAGGTATGAGTCACTCGTGATATGTATCTCATTTTGTACATGAGTTACATCCTCGGTTACATCAATTCTAAGCTTTCAAATTGTCATTCATTACCCTATATATGGCAAACCCGAGGGCAAACCGGACATTGTATCAGAGGAAATCATATGATTACTCATGTTGATGATCAAGATCCGTTTGTTTTCAAGTTTTCAGTGAAAGTAAAAATAGAAATTCTGATATTTTCAATATTTGTCTATTCCCATAAATATTACCTTGTCATGATGGAATGGATATGCAATACCCTGATGTATGTGATATTATTATCTATTCGAATATAGAGGCCGGGATTCATGAGGTAGAAATTACCCAGATAGCACAATGTTATTCATAGAACGTTCATAGAATATTCTTCGAGAATATTCGAATATTCTCAGAGTATTCTTGTTATGCCCCGCGAAATACCATCTAAGGAAAATATTGAAATATTGAAAATGGAATTCATACCCGTTAAGTAAACATCGTTTGTCGGCAAATTAAGGATACTTAATATTTATTTTAATGACTCTAGATCAACCTTGAAATTGGTATCTCCAAGAATGCGCTAATTGAGACCGACAAACGAATATAATGTGATTTAT